AGGCCAGTCCTATATAGTGCTGGCCCGTCCAGGAGGCTGCTCTTGCCAATGCCAAAACGTGCCAGACCCTGGCGTTGAAACTCAAACAAGGGTTGTCTTGAAAACAGGCCCAGAATGGCCTGTGCTAAAACCCTGGTCTGGTGCCCAAGTTTCAGGGCAGGTCGATCTTATGAGGGCCTGAAAATGGCCCTCCGTTTCAGGCTGAAAAGACTCAGGGCCTGGAGGACCCTGTTTTAGGCTGAAACGACACAGGGCCTGTAGGCCCTTGTTTTCAGGCTTTCAGGCTGAAAACTGCACGGGCCTTAAAATGGCCCGTGCAGCCTGTTGCAGGCGCAGCATGTAACACCTGTGACCTGCGACGCAGGAGCTTGAGGCCTGGTAGAGAGATCTGGGGATTAGTCGAGGAACGAAGACAATCCAGTGGCGAACTGGGGGGTGCTGCTGTGGCAACCTAAGGGTTCGGGTTTCGTCTAAGCAGTGAGAACATGTCAGCTAAGGTGGGTATTGGAGGGGATGATACTGTCTTTGAGTGTTGCATTTGGTAGAGGGGAGAGGCTAGAAGTTGAGCATAGAGTGGGAGGCCAGGTTATGCTGATTGGAAAAAAAAAAAAAAAAAAAAAAAAAAAAACCACCATCATCATCATCATCATCATCATCATAATCACCATAATGATCATCATATGTGGGACACTGAGCCAGGTTCTCAGCTTGTTCGGTTCGGTCACTCCGGGTAGACCGTGAGGACCCCAACCTCAATCTTCTTATTGGTAATTTCAGCCTTGGGCACTGGGCATGTTTTAATTAAAAAGAAAAAAGAAAAAAAAAGAACAAGGCTGCTCACAAATCACACAGCTTTCGTCCATGCTCAGAAGGGGGGTTGGTGTGGAGAGTAGGGTTGCAAAATGACCCAAGAACTAGCCTGCTCATAAATTACACAGGTTTCCTCCATGCTCAGCAGGTTGCAGTAATCCCCTTTGCAAATGTGCTTTGAGGCAATCTCCAGTGATGTTCTGGGTCTTAAGAAACGCCCAATAGCTCCTTCACTTAGGGCTACCTGAAACGCTTTGACCTGCAGGAAGGGGGGAAGCGACAAACAAGACAAGTCAATCTGATTGGTCGCGGCGGCACGTTCGCATGATATTTCTTGCAACTCGTCGGCCAGACAGACAGGCAGAAAGTGGTCCTTCGTTTCCATGTAGAACCTTAAAGAAAAGGGAAAAGTTTCAAAATGCCCCTCCGACTTCCATTTATTTGCAGTATGCCCCTCTGACGGCCGATGTACCTTGCCATGCCCCTGGGGCCTCCGAAGTCTCCTCCAAGCCCCTCCCTGTCAGTGAGGGGTGCAACTTTCCAGCATGCCTGCCCCTGTGTCTGTTGGTGGCACTCGCAGGCGTTCCCCTGGCCCTGGGAGGGGAGCTACCGGGGCGTACTGGAAATTTGGAACCGGTACCGGTAGGGGCATACATATTTCAGGCCGAAACGGCACCAGGGGTTTTTCGGAAACTCCAATCGTGGTCAGCAGGGCACAACAGGGGCAGTCGGCAGTCAGAGGGGCATACCGCAAATAAATGGAAGTCCGAGGGGCATTTCAAAAATTTTCCCTTTAAAAACAAAAGGGAAAGGTTTCCAACTTTCCATATCCAGTCCTTTTTTAAGGAGTTAAAATTTAAAAGGGTCTCCGTTTTCATTTCCCATGAGGAAAGTTTGAAAGAGCTATTGGCCTTGCGATAAGCAACCACTTAAAACCACCAGTACTTTTGAGCGTTTGGCTGCCGAGCCCGGAAATCCCCTGAGCAGTGAGCACCAAAAAACAACGGGCTGGTGCAGGCCCCTTCATCTTGCAGCTTTGGCAGGCCGGCCCCCGCAACTTGCGGCCGCATGCATGCCGCGTTGGAGAAAATGGCTGGCAAACATATTGGTGGTTTAAGTGAGTTCGTGTTGCATTGACTTCAGGCGACACGGTACTTGAAAAAAAAAAAAAAAAAAAAAAAAAGCTACTAAACTGATGTAAACTCACTATTATATTATTATATTATATTATATGTTATATATCTGACATTTTGGCAGCTCTTTCTAATGAACGAGAATTTGTCGAGAATGTATATTACTATATTCTTAAGGTCAGTGCTTCCAAGAGAAGCACCTGAAACACAGGAGAAGAAGGTTTAGAGAGACCTGTGAGTTGCTACACACCACCACTACAAGTTGATGGAGGAGTCACAGGGGAGGGGCTCCATCTCATGCATGAAGTACGTTGGCGACCTTACTTCCCCTGAGTCTGGAACCTGTACCATTGTATTTTTGGCCTTGGGCACTGGGCCCTAATAAAAAGACATTTCTTTGTAAAAAAAAAGAAGGAAGATGAGCAATAGCGAACTTCAGCAATCAAACAGCATCATACACATGAGACCAGATAGTCGAGACCTCGAACCAAAAGCCGAATTGCATCACGAGTTTCACCAAATAAGAGCACACCAAAAGCTCATAATTGACAATGCTGGAATAGTCTCATCATCATCATCAACGAAGAACCAATGTTGATATCCTATCTGGCGCTCGGCGCCCAGACTACAGATGGCAGATCCTATCTAGCCTACTCTACAATGTCGCTGATGACGTCAACAGCTCCCCGAAGTACGAGCAGATCTCGGCCAATGCCGCACGCTTCAAGCACCAGGTATGT